GTTAATCCCTTGGAGAAATGCTTAACCTTACAACCTTTAGTCTCTGCTTTAGGAAAATACCCCATTTATCTGTGGATTGTCAAAGGCTCCAGTGTATTAATTTAATATATATACCTGAATATTAATATGAAAGCAATTTGCCAATAACTGCCAGTGGCCTCATTTGTTACACTCGGCCCTAGCGGGCCTCGAACCTCTGATTAGTCTTACACGGTCTGCAACAAAACCTCCCTTTGAAAAGTTCTATACAGTTCTTTTACCTTCTCATTTCTTCCATTTGTTTTAGCATCTCTATGTTGAAAAGAAAGTCTCAGAATATTTCTCCCTCCATTTGGATATTTTCTTCCTCTCCTGTCTTTTTAATGACTTTTTATTTTCTTCCTGTATGATGTTCTTGATGTCATCACACAATTTTTCTGGTCTTTAGTCATTAGTATCTAGTGCATCAAATCTGGTCTCTAAGTTTAGGTGGGATAAATTCTAGGCCATATTTTGTCTCTCTTGGATGTGTTTTAATTTTCTTCAGTTTCAACATGAACTTGCACCTGAGCAATTGATGGTCTTTTCCACAGTTTCCCCCGGCCTTGTTTTGACTAATGATATTGAGCTTTTCCACCATCTCTTCCCACAGATGTAGTTAATTTGATTCCTTTGTATTCCATTTGGTGAAGTCTAGATGTATAGTCACCTTTTACATTGTTTGCAAAAGGTATTTGCAAATGAATAAGTTGTTGCCCTTGCAAAATTCTATCATGTGATCTCCAGCATTATTTCTATTACCAAATCCATATTTTCCAACTAGTGATCCTTACTCTCTGTTTCAAATTTTCGTACCCCAATCACCAGTAATGTACCATTCAATGCATCTAAAGATTCACAGCCTTGGAAATACTGTGAAATGTTGCTGAGTCAGTATTGACTTGACAGCACTTAGCAGCAACAATGACCCTATGGGACAGAGTAGAACTGCCCCATTGGGTTTCCAAGGTTGTATATCTTTAGAGAAGCCGACACTGAAATCACTGACCTTTTGGTTGGCAGGCAAGTGGTTAACCACTGTGTTACCAAGGCTCCTCGATCACATTTAACTGGACAAATAATGTGATATATACTAAATAAGTAGACAGAAGAGAATTCTGAGAATAAAGAAGAGGAGTGAACAAACACTCTGAGGTTTAAACTGCGTTGTATTTATAAACCCCTCTTTTGTTTTCTTTGCAGTTTTGCTGAAATGGCAAAATATGATCTATCAGGAATAATAGACTTCATTGTAAATAAAACTGGTGAGGAGAAGTTGTATTTCGTTGGACATTCACTTGGCACTACAATAGGTATGTTTAGAAGGGCAAATGTTAATGGCATCTGCAAGTTGTTGTTAAGTGCATTGGAGTTGGTTATGACTCACTATGAAACACTTACCCCATCCTGCACCATCCTCTTAATTGCTGCTACACTTGAGCCCATTGTTACTGCCACTATGCCAATCCATCTTGTTGGTAGTCTCCCTTGTTTGCTCTCTCCCTTCACTTTACCACGTATGAAGTCTTTCTCCTAATAATATGTCCAAAGTATGAGAGATGAAGACTGGCCACCTTGGCTTCTAAGGAGCATTCTGGCTGTACTTTTTCCAACATAGATTCACCTTAAATTAGACTACAGTTAACGGCCACTTACAGTCCTATGAGGATCAGATACTTTGTGCCTCAGTGGAGAGACAGCCCATTCTGCATGTGAAAAGATTGTGAATAGGTAGAAAAAACCTTTCCCAATGTGTGCTCACAGTGCCACATTCTTAATGGGGATGCAATTTCTTGGGAACACTATGGATGAAATCCAAAGAAATAATACCAAAGAATATATTTCTAGATCCCTTCAGAGCTGAAAGAGTAAAGCCAAATGTATGGAAATATCCCTAATAAATAAACATTAGGCATGCTTTCCTCACAAACCATTAGTCATTTAAAACAAAAAGAAAAGGGTGGGACTTCTATTTGAACAAACGAATAAGATATGGATATAGTGGGATGGAACACAAAAGTTAATTGTAATAAATCATTTGGATTTATCCACTTAGCTTGTGATTTAATGTTTATGGTGAAACAATTAAATGTAAGCACTATGTAGAAAAAAATTTAAGTACAAAACCCTGGTCTTTGAAATTTTACTTTTTAACAAATTGCCAAGATCTTTTGGGAAGAAATCAATAATTCAGCTTGAAATAAAACCTTAAAGGAATTAATACTTATACAAATTTAATTTTGTTATTGATCTTCCACTAAAGTTTTCCATTTTAAGGGATCGAGCCACGTTGAGTGCAGTATTTCAGTCTGCATTTAATTAAATTTTTTAGAATTGTAGGAGGCAATAAATATTCTTACAATATTATTAGTATCTCTAGTTCTATTAATAGTAAACATATGTTCATCAATGCCTTATATTGGTGCTCAGGCAGCTTGTCTTGGAAGAGACAGTGAGTATCAGAGAACATATATCAAATAACTGTGGGAGACCTAATACCACACATAAAGCCAAATAATTATGCTATAAATAGCTAAAACGTACTGAGTTCTTACTGTATATCTGTTCCTGGGTTCAGAATCTTTTGCACAATATTTTCCTTTAATTTTCAGAACAATCCTACTATTATCGTCTCTATTTTATAGAAAAGAAAACAGAAGTTCTGAGAAAATTGAGTTGCCAAAGGTCCCTTGGTGCATAGATTTAAACTAGGTCAGTTTGACTTCACAAATAGAAGGTTTGGTACCTGGTGAGAAACTATATGTAGAAGGAAAGACTTGAGTTGAACCTACAAAAATGGGCTAGACTTAAATTTGCTTTTAGAGCTGATCTACAAAGAAAGCAAATAAAATGATCATCACTGCTCTGCACTGAATTTAAGACTTGCCATTTTTCGATGAATGCTATTGATATTTTGAACAGAGAAATGATCACCATTTACAGGAAATTTAGAAACCCTGACCCCAGCCCACTAAGTACCAATAGACAGACAGACAGACAGAGTGATCACCCAAGAAACGCTACACATTTCCAATTATCCCATAGGGGGAACAGTACCATACAAGCCTTTTGTATCAATTACTCAGTGAAATATTTCAGTTCTTTTTCTGGCCAAGGGCTTTTTAATATTTCAACAAGAATTTCAACAAAAAACCTCAGCTATTGCTTCTCTCTCTCTCTCTCTCTCTCTCTCACGCACACACACACACACACACACGCACACAATTAGTAGAGGCTCCTGAAGGAAGTACCTGGGAGAACCAAAATATAGATTTTCCCCATGCCCTTCCCTGTGTTGTCCTTATCTCTGCTCCCATCCTCCCAAGGCTGTAAATGGTTGCAATGCAATTGCTGAAAGCGCAAAGTAGATGGAGACAACCGGTTCTCATTATAGACAGTGGACCCAGAGCAAGTTTTCCACTTGTAATCAGGGAAGATTCAGAAAGACTAGTATGCATCCTGTGAAGTGCTGAGAGAGGGAACTCTCCGTTGTGAAAAAGAAAGTCTGCTGAGAAACTGGATGGTACTTCAGAAAGGATTGATTGGCTCACCTCTCATAATAGACTAGTTATCTCTAGAAGCCCTGTGACTCAATCTGGCACCTCAGAGTTGGGGTAAATGACAGTAAGTTCATCCACAGTTCACCTAGCTATAGCTGCTTTGGTAGTTTCTCCTTTACTTTTCCTCTACTGGTTATTCCACTTCCCCAACCAGGTTAAGTAGCCCATCAAGAAAAAACAGCAAGGGACCATGGGAATAGAGAGGGCTGAAGGCATCTTTGCTGAAAAACTCAAAAGTTTCCCAACTCATTCCAAAGACCATTAGGATAGATGGACAAAAATAACAAACCAAGCCCTGCTTTCATTAGTAGAAGCATTGTATAAGTATTTCTCATTTTTACAAGATTGTTTTGTCTCCTGTTCTCTCAGGATTTGTAGCCTTTTCCACCATGCCAGAACTGGAACAAAGAATCAAAATGAATTTTGCCTTGGGTCCTATGGCCTCATTCAAATACCCCACAGGTGTTTTTACCAGTTTTTTTCTACTTCCAGATTCCTTATTCAAGGTAGGTTTCCCCTTTCACCAAAATTTATCTAATTTTTTTAAATCACAGATCCTTATTGTTTAAAAATTGATTATGATGTAAAAGTAGGAAAGTTAGACAAAATCTATACAAATTAGACTCTGTAAACATGCTTACACATGTGTGCCTGCCACGGTATGTGTGGGAATCTGTCTTAGTTCCTACAGCTCCTGTCTATAATTTAAAACACTCAGTTACAAGCAAAACTTATAAAGAGGCTTCAAAGAGTTCATGGAAAATGAAATCTTTCCACAAAGTTTTTGAAACCCCTTTTATGTCACATGAACTTCTAGATGATCTGAAGTCTATGTCAATACAAGGTCTTCTCACAAAGTTTCTTGTAACATTCAGTTGGCCAGGTCAATGGATTCACAATGCCCAAATGGAAGACACTCTTGAAATTACATATAATCACTAATGCTGCTGACTTTGATTTTCAATGAACCTGGCAGATACACTCCTTCCCATAGGAAGCTTAAACTAATTTAGTAAGACTCCAAATTCTGTCTTCTTATTTATTGTGATTTGAGTAAAAGTTTACAAAGCAAATTAGTGTTCTATCCAACAATTCACAAATACCCATGTTTGGTTTTGTGACAATGACTGCAGTCTCCACAGTGTAAAAGCAGTCTTATGTGTGAAATCTACTTCCTCCCTGTGTTTACAGTGTCCATATGTCCTTCTTATCTGTCCCATCCGCTTTCTGAGCTTTGTCCCTTGGAAAATGCTGCCCTTTGGGTCTTGTAAGGTTGAAGCTTCTAAGGCAGGTATACCTCCCTGTTGCTATTGTTCATTTTATAGGCCTGCCTATTGTTTGGATGAAAATTGAGTCACAGGGGTGAGTTCAGTTGCAGGCTTACAGGGTGTCGAAGGACCTAATGTGGTGCTGTAGACTAAGCACTTGACAATTAACCACAAAATTGGTGGTTTAAGCCCACCAGCTGTTCCTCAGAAATTCTATACAGGGATCACTATGAGTCAGAATCAACTTGAAAACACTTAACACAACAAGGACCATCATCTCAGGGATTCCACCAGTCTCTGTCAGACCAGTTAGCCTGCTCTTTTGTTTGATTTTGAGTTTTATTCCATATTGTTCTCCTCTTCTATCCGGAACCTCCCATTGAGACCCCAATCAGTGTAGTTGGTAGTGGTAGCTGGGCACCATCTAGTTCTTCTGGTCTCAAGGTAGCAAACGATGAAGTTTGCATGGTCCATTAGTCCTTTGGACTGATGGTATCCTTGTGTCTTTGATTCACTTAACTCATCTTTGCTCTAGACAAGAAAATACAAAGCCTATCTTAAAGCTCAATTTTTCATTTAAATATTTTTTGGTTATTTTCCAAGAGTTGAAAAAGTACTTTGACAGTCAATTTGGGATTTTTCTCTATTCATTGAAAAGGTTTCCCCTATTCCCTGTTTATTTTTATTTCTTTAAAAATAAACATAATAGTTTACCAAATTGCCCATTTCATTTCGGGTGGAAGGTAAATTAGATTTGGACCAAAATAAAGACAAGAAGACCAGTTAAAGTATCACAGTAATTCATACTGAAGATGGTGAAGTCCTGGCTTGGGGTGGTAATGTTGGAAGTGGAAATTATTATGTGTGAATTCCAAGCCCACCTCCATCACGTTGATTCTGACTCACAGTGACCCAATAGAACAGAGAAGAACTGCTCCTTAGTGTTTCTGAGACTAAATCTTTACGGGAGAAGATAGCCACATCTTTTTCCCACAGAGCTATTGGTGGGTTTGAACCACTCACCTTTTGGTTAAGAGTCCATTGCTTAACCCACAGGGCCAAAGGAACTCATTATAAATGAGCTATATTAGTTTTATTGCTTTGTTTACTGTAAATACAAGTGAAGTAATTGTCCTTTTGTGTGGTGGATATTTCTATTTAACATTTATTGTTTATTGACAGTAATATAGAATGTTTTCTACATTCTGGGAGGCTGAACAGATTAATTTGTTAAATTCATATATACACATATCTTTTAAAAAACACCAGATTTGTATATGCTTTGTTTGGCCTGCATTGGTTAGTTCCTTCAGTTTGTATGTCATCTGTTCTCAAGTTTCCTACCACTTTAAGTCCTATTTCTATTCTCCTTCCCCAGCTTTTCAGAATATCTGTGACCCCAGAAGTTTCAAGCACCCCATGAGAGATTTCCACCCAAGTGTACTTTCCCATGTTCTCCTAACAAATCGTCAAATTTTTTCTACCCCTCCCTTCAGTGCACCCTTGTCTGTCTTGCAGTGTGAGAGCTAGCCAATCTGGGCAACTAATATACAGTCAGTATGATGATGGGCAATAGAGAAAATCCTGTTTTGTTTTGTTTTTCTTATTTAAAATAATATCTGATCTTAAGGAGAAATTCTTCCAATTTCCATGCCAATAAATGACATATAAGAAATGTTGACAATCTCTAATTGGACAGAATACAGGGAAGCTTCAATATGAGGAAGTAATTTGGGGGTTGAAGGTCCTTTCTGCAGTCTCCTTGTAAACAATATTGATGATACTTCATGGTTATAGGTGAAGTCATAAATCGATTTTCCTGGATAACTTGGTTTCATTGACCAAATCAGCAAATTTAACTATATCCTCATGTATGGCTCATGTCTAGGATGAAGATAATATAAAGAAGTCTTAAGATAGTTCTTGAAAAATAATTTACTTTTCAATCCCCTACTCCTGGAGTCCTGGTGTGATGCTGTGGGTTAATGCACCAAACTGCAAAGCCGTTTGAACTGCAAGGTCAGCAGTTCAAAGTCACCATTTGCTCCTTGGAAACCCTATACAGGGTAGCTATGGGTTGGAATAGACTCAATGGCACTCAACAACAACAACTCCTGAAAAGTCAGCAATTCAAATCTACCTGGAGCTCTGCAGGAGAAAGATGAGACTTTCTGCTCCAGTAAAGAATTACAGCCTCAGAAACCCTATACAAGGTCACTATGAGTTAGAACCAACTCATGGCACATAACCACCACTATATGTATGTGTGTATTTTTAAAATTTATTTTATTTTTTTACTTTTACAGGCTATGTTTGGCACTAAAGGTTTACTTTTAGAAGATGAGAAAGGAAAGCTGACTTCTGTAAAAATATGCAACAATAAAGTACTCTGGGTGATATGTAGTTTATTCTTGTCCTCATGGGCTGGATCCAACATGAAAAATATGAATGTGGTATGTATAATGATTTTGAGATCTTTTGATAATTTAAGATATTATAGGTGTGTTGTTTTTTTTTAATTTATATTGATGTATCTATTTTACTGCATACTGTTTGATGATTTCCACATTTTATTGGGTCACCTTTCTTTGGAATGGGTTCAAATATAAATCTCTTCCAATCAGTTGGCTAAGTAGCTGTCTTCCAAATTTCTTGGCACAGATGATTTGAAGAGATTCATATTTTTGCCCGTTTCAAAGAAATATGACCCAACAGAATGTGGAAATCATCAAACAATATCATTAATATTATGTATAAATAAAATTTAGCTGGAGATAATTCAAAAACAGTTGCAGTAGTACATCAACAGAGAGCTGCCAGAAATTCAAGCAGATTCAGAAGATGACGTGAAGCAAAATATACCGTTGACTAAAGGTGGCAAAATAGCAGACTAGGCAGAAAGGCTGTGTGGACCTTCTACAACAAAGATATGGATAACCAAATGAAACAGATATAGATGATAGTCCTGGATCTCTGAACTTCAGATGAAGGGACAGAGAAATGAGTTGGATGGTTACTAGGAATTAGAGTTGAGCAGACACAGCAAAATGAGGAGAGGGCAGTGGTATGAGCCAGTGACCAGATGGGCACAGTCATCCTGATCATATCTGAGAGGTTTCAGAGATAAGAAAAGTTACTGGCATTGGAGAAACATACCTATGGCTGACAGAGACAGGGGTGCAATTTTTTTTCTTTTCCTTACATTCCCCTGGTGATCAGAATTGAGACCTGCACCCACTCGTGTACACCCCTAGGGAGGCACCCACTCTCCTGGAGGTCGGAATTGCACAGACATCAGTGTTGCAATGTTGTGATCCCGTTAGAGGAGACAGGAGCTTCTGCAATGACCCTATTTGGCGGGGCCCTGCTTCAGATTTGTAGAGTTGACCCTGGCCAGGCCTGAGCTATCCCTCACTAAAAGAAACAGCTGAACAGACGTACAGGAGAGAAAACACATGCACACACAGAGAAAAGAAACTGGTGATCTGTGCTGGTGGCCAGGCCAGCTGCAGTGTGTTCATCTTGAATTTCACAGGTAACTTTGAAGGTAAGAAGGAATTAGGTGGTGCAAAGGCATGCCACTTATTGATTGACAGAAAGGGGAGAGTTTTTTGTTTTTTTTTTTCTTTTCTTCTTGTACCCCACATTACCTTGGTGACTAGAGGTGTTGTCAGCCCCCATCTACAAACACTCCCACTCTATAGGCATCTGCTCTATAGGCTGTCCAAATCATATCAAAATGTGTAGGGAGCTAACAGCACCAACCCAGGCAACTAGAATCAGGAGTGACCTATTCCAGACCTGCAGAGTTGGTTCTCATCAGCCCTAGACTAGAAGAACATCTCACCCTTAGCTCCCCTCTGGGATGGAACTACCCTGATATCCCAGCTGCTTTGGGGCATGCATGAACTATTTCTGAATTGTGTGCACAGAACAGTCAAAACCTAGCCCTACAGGCATTCCATCTAGGGTTGAGTGTTACTGTCTCATCACTTAACCACCCATGACATCATGATATAATGACCATGGCTGACAGAAGAACCTAGAATTCTCTTCTTTCAGGACTGTCACCTGCCCTGTTTGTTTGTTTGTTTTTCTTTCTTTGTTCTTTCTCCCTTAACTTTGCCTGTCTTGTTTGCTTTTCTTTTTATCTCCCCTTTCATTTTTTTTTTCTGCTTCTCTTTCCCAGCCACTGTTGCTTCCTTCTTTCTTCTTATTTTTTAACCCCTCATTATTTAATTAATTAATTATAGTCATTTTTCACTACTCTCTGGACTTTTCCCTGTTATTCATTCCTCTCCCTAATTATGTTTAGGTCTTTTTCTTTCTTTTAATTTTCTTTTATTATTGTTATTTTTTTCCTCTCCCTCTTTCTCTCCTTGATTTTTGTACTCTTTTGCAAGCTGCCACCTGGTTTTTTGTTTTTATTGTCTTTAATATTTTCTCTTTTCTCTCTTGTTTACTAGTTTGTGGTTTTTTTCCATGTCTATTTTGTTTGTTTGCATTTTCTCTTCTTGCCTCAACTAGCAGGACACAGCAACTGAAGCCATACAGCCCAGTCAGCACCATATCCTCTCCAACCCCAACCATTGGGCCAGAACTGTATACACTGGATCAACAACAACAACAACAAACATCAGCCAAATCCATCTTAAACTGAACTGCATAAACAACGAATAAAGGAGAGTGCACAAGTGCTTCTCCTGTTCAAAACCCCTAGGAGGCAGTTGGTGAGTGCCTAAGAATACATCAACATACAATCATCAGCTTAATGCAAATCCAACATCACAATGTCTTGAAAGCAGCAGATAATTTCTATTCACACAAAGAAACAAGACAGAGTGGCTTGAACAAATGACCAAGAGGCAGAGTTAGAAAATATTTTTGAGGAAAAAGGCATTAGAATTACCTGAAAAGGAACTCAAGAGAATGACATTCAGGTACATCCAAAG